ACAACGTTAACTCATCTCATGAGAACTGAGGCTATATTTATAATCATCTTCCTCTTTTCATATAATTATCTTTATTCTGATCACTCTCACTTTCCATTACGGTTAGTGTTAACATGATCGTCTTTTGTTGCTGATGCTGTTCTTTGTTATTATTGTTATTTTTATTGTAATTATCATCATTATTATTGTTATTATTATTATTATTATTATCATTATTATTATTATTATTATTATTATTATTATTATTATTATCATCATTATCACCATTATTATCATCATCATCTTATCACTGTTACTATTATCGTCATCATCTCTCTCTCTCTCTCTCTCTCTCTCTCTCTCTCTCTCTCTCCTTCTCTCTCACTCTCTCTCTCTCTCTCTCTCTCTCTCTCTCTCTCTCTCTCTCTCTCTCTCTCTCTCTCTCTCTCTCTTTCACTGTCACTTACCTCTAAGCGTCTTATCAACTTTTAAGCTTAAAGAAAAGAACAAAAGGTGGGAAATAAAGGAAAAGAAAACGGTATGAGAAATAAAGAGAAAAACAGTAATAAGAAAAAAGAAGAAAAGAAGGAAAGATAACAAGAAGAAAAAATAAAGAAAAGGAAGTAGAGAATAAGAAACAGAAGAATAGAAAACTATGATAAAGAAAGGAATATGAAAAAAATAAAGAAAATAGACAACAGCAAAAAAGAAAAAAAGAAAAAAGAAAATAGAAAAAAAAATATTGATCACAAAAAAAGAATATGCCCCCCCTCCAAAAAAAAAAGAAAAAAGAAAAAAAGAAAGAAAAATGAAAGAAAAAAATGTAATTCCCAAAGAGGACACGAATTTATGGCATCGCAAAATTCAGCACAGTGAGAATCTTTTACTCGTTCTGAAATAATTATTAGTCATCATCTAACTCGAACACCTTTTATGGCCAATAACTCCACGAGGGAAAGCTGAGGAGTTGCCTTTCATTTCTGCCATTACTCCGCCCTCTCTCCACCTCTTTGCTCCCTTTAAAAAAATTAGTTTTTGGTTTTCTCTTTCATTATGTCTGTTTTTCTGTTTCTGTATCTGTTTGATTCTCTATGTCTGTCTATTTGTCTTCCAGATCTCTCTCTATTTATCTTATTGTTTTTCAGATCTCTTTCTATCTTTTTATCTATCAAATTCTCTCTCTCTCTCTCTCTCTCTCTCTCTCTCTCTCTTTCTCTTGTATTCAAAGTAGTTTCTCTCTCTCTCTCTCTCCCTTTCCATCTACTTTCTCTCTCTCTTTCTTTTTTCATTTATCTTTTTTTTCCCTATCTATCTATTTATTTTCTTTTCTATTTATCTTTTTCTTTCTCTCCTCCTTGAGAAATTTGTTACGGAGGCGAAGATGCGGTGATGGCCGGTATTTTGTATTTTTTTCTAATTCCTTTCGTCTATGTGTGTTTTACTTCCTTATTTAGTTGCTTGGTTCCGTTACCTTTCCTTTCTTCTTTTCTGTTTTTCTTCCTTTCTTCTTCTTCTTTTTCTTCTACTTCTCTTGCTTCTTCTTTTTCTTCTATTTCTCTTGCTTCTTCTTCTTCTACTAATACTTCTCTTTCTTCTTCTTTCTTCTATTCCCTTTTCTTTTTCTTCTTCTTCTTTTACTTCCTTTTTTCTACTTTTTCTTCTTCTTCTACTTCTTCTTCTACTTCTTCTTCTTCTTCTTCTTCTTCATCTACTGCTTCTTCTTCTTCTTCCTCTACTTCTTCATCTTCTTCTTCTTCTACTTTTTTTTTCTTCTTCTTCTCCTACTTCTCCTTCTTCTTCTTCTACTTCTCCGTCTTTATACGCATATGAGTATAATGGCAAATGTAAGTATTAATATTGAGATATACTTACCCTCCTATACACACACACATACTCACGCACACATTCACACACACACACACACACACTCACGCATACAATCACACACACATGCAAACTCACACACACACAGACACAGACACACACACACACACAGACACACACTCATACATACACACACGTACATGCAATACACAGACCGCTGATAGTGTCTCTCAGTCTTATCTCCTACGTTTATCATGATCCCGCCTATAAATTCCTTTACAAATGACAAATGTCTTGATTAACTCAGGAATTACAACACGAACAATAGTATTTCATTCAGTAGGAAGTAGGTTTGTATATCACACATGCAGAGGCTAGCGATAGTAAGACAATAAAAAAAATATGAAAGTGTCTTCCCAACTCTCTCATTTTTTTCTTCTTTCTCACTCTCTTTCATTTTCTTTTCTTCTCTCTCCCTCTCTCTCATTTTTGTTTTGTTTTGTTTTGTATCTCTTTGTCTTTGTCTCCTTTTCTTACATACACACTAATAGTCCCTATATCTCTTTTTCTGTCATTCGCCCTCTCTGTCTGTATGTTATTTTTTTTGTCTGCTCGTCTCTCTCTCTCTCTCTCTCTCTCTCTCTCTCTCTCTCTCTCTCCTTTTCTCCCCCCTCTCTTTCTATCTATCTACCCTGTCCCTCTGGCTCTCATTCTCGCAGCTTCCTCTATACTAAGCCATCCAACACTATTAAACTTAAAACTATATTTCCAAACGTATAAATAAATAAATAAAACGAGAATTTGAAACAGAAGACGAAGAAGAATTAAAAGAAGAAGACGAAGAAGAAGAAAAAAAGAAGAAAACGAGAGAGAAATAAATGAAATAAAGAAAAAAAAAAGACAATCACACAAAGAATTCTGACATTCACAATGCAGAAGAATTATCAGCGGTCTGAGCCACTACATGATATTAATTAAAGGACTTGCTGGCGAGGGGAAGAGGGGGGAGAGGGAAAGGGGGAGAGGGGAAGAAGGGGGAGAGGGAAAGGGGGAGAGGGGAAGAGGGGGGAGAGGGAAAGGGGGAGAGGGGTGAGAGGGGGAGAGGGGAAGGGGGAGAGGGGTGAGAGGGGAAGGGTGGGAGAAAGGGGGAGAGGGGGACGGGGAAGCTAAGGGAGGAAAGGGGAGAGGGAGGAGGGGGTGATAAGGGATGGGGAGAGGGGGTGATAAGGGATGGGGAGAGGGGGTGATAAGGGATGGGGAGAGGGGGTGGAGGGAGGAGTGGGTGGGAGGGACGGGAAGAGGGGGGAGGGGAGAGGTATAGGTAGGGGAGGTAGGGAAGAGGCATGTAGGAAATGGAGGAGAGGGGAGGAGGAAAGAGAGAGAGAGAGAGAGAGAGAGAGAGAGAGAGAGAGAGAGAGAGAGAGAGAGAGAGAGAGAGAGAGAGAGAGAGAGAGAGAGAGAGAGAGAGAGAGAGAGAGAGGGAGAGAGAGGGAGAGAGGACGTTGGAAGGGTATAGGAAGACATGCGAGAGGAAAAGAGAGGGTCGAGGGGAAATGGGGAATAGTAGAATAGGAGAGAGGGGAAAGGGGGAGAGAAGAGGTAAGGGGGGGGAGAATAGATTAGGAAGAAGAAGAAGGGGAAAGTAGTGAGAGGTGATTGAAGGAGGAAAGAGGGGAGTGATGGAAGGGCGAAAGGAGGAGGGGGAAGACAGAGAAGAATAGGGAAAGGAAGATGAAAGAAAAAGAAAAAGGAGGAAGAAAAGGAGGAGGGAGGAGGAGGAAGAGAAGGTAGGGGGAGGGAGAATAAAAGGAGAAGGGGAAAAAATCACACAAGCCACGTAACGCGACCGAGTGAAAAAAACAAAACAAAAAACAATCAACTACAGCTTGCGTGAATTAGCGAGAAGACACGAGACTCACGTAATAATCGCTAGGGTTTTTTTTTATTGTCGTCGGTCCCTCTCCCCTCTCCCTCCCCCTCCTCTCCCCTCACTTCCCGTCCTATTTCCCCTCTCTCCTCACACCTCCTCATGTTTCGTTGCTCAATATCCCTCCCACTGCCATAATCACTTCATCCTCCGCCTTTCCCTCACCCCTTTTCGTTCCCCTTCCTCCTCCCCCATTCCTTCACCTTCCCCTACCCCTTCATTCTCCTCCTCCTCCTCCTCCTCCACAATGTCTTCCCCTTCCATCACTCACTTTCCTTCCCCTTTCATTCCCCTCTCTCCACGTCCATTCCCTTCTCTTCCCTCATACCCCATTTCTTCTGTTTTACCTCATTCTCCATATTCCTATATCCCCCCATCCCCATTTCCCTCCTCCCTTCCCCTCCCCCACACCCTATTTCTCTTGCTTTATCCCCATTCCCCCCCATTCCTATCCCCCCCATGCCCATTCCCTCCCCATTTCCCTCATGCCCGACCCCCCCCCCCTAACACAATCTTCGCAACCTCTCGTTTACCCCCTTCCTGTGCATGACTAACCAACAGAACGGTTTTCACTCCTTGTCATTTCAGGCATGTCATGTTTTATGACTGGAGCATGACACGAAGAAGGAGATTTTTGCATGGATCCTTGAAAAGAAAGAAGAAAAGAAACAAAGAAGGAGAAAAAAACCGAAGCAAGTATCTTTGCTTGAATGCAGGAAAAGAGATGTGATTTACGCTTAAAAAGAAAAAGAAAAAATTTAATACAAGAAAAGGGGAATGTTTTCTTTTCATTTGAATAGATGATAAAAGTAGTAACGGAATTTTTACTTGAATACCTGCATATATATATGTGTGTGTGTGTGTGTGTGTGTGTGTGTGTGTGTGTGTGTGTGTGTGTGTGTGTGTGTGTGTGTGTGTTTGTGTGTGTGTGTGTGTGTGTGTGTGTGTGTGTGTGCTTGTGTGTGTGTGTGTGTGTGTGTGTTTGTGTGTGTGTATGTATGTGTGTATAAGGATATTTACTTTCATGTACGCCTACTCATAGACTAAATAAGTGTTTCCGATCACTAGATAGTACCTATAACACAACAACAATATCCACAGAAACGCACAATAACAACAGCAAGGGATACAACTCCCCCGACAACAACAACAACAACAAAAACAGCAACTACAACCTGTAACAAATCCGGCATCGCGTGTTTCCAATTCTCCCTTAAAACAGACCACACAATTTGGATACTCACTTTGCCCAATTGGCATTCTCAAGCGCATGCTCCCGGAGGCAACGCTAATCAGTTATAACGAAGGAGATCGCGAGTAAGTGTTGTTATTTGGAATATTGGGATGTGTAGGGAGACGGGGCGCAAGGGAAAAAGGGGAATACTGGTAGGAGAAGTGATACGAAAATAGGAGGAGGAGGAGGAGGAAAAAAAGAAGAAGACGAAGAATAAGAACAGCAAAAAGAAGACGAAGGAAAGAGAGAGAGAGAGAGAGAGAGAGAGAGAGAGAGAGAGAGAGAGAGAGAGAGAGAGAGAGAGAGAGAGAGAGAGAGAGAGAGAGAGAGAGAGAACCAGAGACAATGAGAAACACAAACCGAGACCGACAGTCGAAACAAATAATAAAAACAACAAAAATCATCAACAACAACAACAAAAAACTAACAATCAAAGACAAAAAAACAACAAAAAAAACATTAAAAGATTCCGCATCCCAGAACATCACCTCCCCCCCTCCCCCTCCCCTCACACTAAAATCTGTGTTTACAACTTTCCATGCGTACGAAAATCTGCAATGCACCACCTAGAGTGAAGTTCCCATGTCGGTCGCATGGTCTCATTAAGCCAAAATTTCGTGCAACACCTCGTCTTATGATCTCCTCTTTTGCTCAGTTTATTTCTTTGGAGAGAAATCGTAAGTGAGCCGTTTCGAAATAGATAGTTATAGGGAAATGGACGATGCTATGTGTAGAGAGAGAGAGAGAGAGAGAGAGAGAGAGAGAGAGAGAGAGAGAGAGAGAGAGAGAGAGAGAGAGAGAGAGAGAGAGAGAGAGAGAGAGAGAGAGAGAGAGAGAGAGAGAGAGAGAGAGAGAGAGAGAGAGAGAGAGAGAGAGAGAGAGAGAGAGAGAGAGAGAGAGAGAGAGAGAGAGAGAGAGAGAGATAGGGTGAAGGGACTGTGGGTGCGCATTCGGGACGATTTGGCGTAAGATGGGAGGTTATTCATCATGTTTTGAATCTATGTTGATGGGTTAGAAAGAAATAAAGATAGAGAGAAAGGTAGATAGATAGATAGATAGATAGAGAGAGAACATTGATATGTAAATAAAGATATAACCATACCAGTAATAGATGTAAACTGCAGAATACCAACAATCCTAGCTTCACCAAATTTCCTGATATCTCAACCTAACTTGCCCGTAATACCACTCAACAAATCATCGTAAATAAGATACTTAAGAGGAAGTAGAGATGAGGAAAAATGAAAGAGGAAAAAGAGACAGAGAGATAAATCAAGCAATACGAGATTATTGAAGAGAAAGGAGAGAGAAAAGGAACAGACGCAATAGATTGATTATGGCACCTTGTAACTTTCCATTTTGGCATCATCCTTTAGAAAAAAGTCTCCTTTATCACGAACACAACAAAGTAAAATAAGCTAAAAAAACAAAAATAAATTAATTGTATACAAAACAACGAAATGTAAAGGCCCTAGATATCCATCTCCTGATTTGAAATAATTCGACAAATACCGTATTTGAAAAATCCGGACTAGGAAATTCAGAAAAAAAATATCCGGACTATTCTAAAATCCAGAAAATTCGAAAATCCAGACTATTCGGAAATCCGGAAAAAAAAAACGGAAATCCGGAAAAATCGAAAACCCGGAAAAAATCGAAAAACCGAAAAAAATCGAAAATCCGGAAAAAATCGAAAATCAGGAAAAATTCGAAAATCCGGGAAAAAATCGAAAAGCCCAGAAACGTCCTCCTCAAACGACAAGTTTACCAACTCGACCTCCTAAACAAGCCATCTGTACATAAAACAACTGGAAAGATAATATCTAAGGATGTATATTTACGTTGCGGTCGGATGTGTTACGAAACGGCGATATCTGCGCTAATACTGCTTATAATCCAAATAAACCGACGCTTTTGCAAAAGATTTCGGTTTGTAATATGGCCTCCGTAATATAAGCTACTGGACGATGGTGCAAGACGCTCAACAAGGCATTGCAAAGTTCAGACTTTCTGCAACGGGAGTAATGTTCGCGATGGAAGTAAGCAGATTATGTTACTCGCCAGAAAGTCACTCAGTTCCACGAAGTTATGAGAATGCGATCTGTAAACGGAGTAGAACTCGCAACGGAAAAGATTCATCGTGTACTTAACAGGTTTCTCTCTCTCTCTTTCTCTTTCTCTCTCTCTCTCGATTTCGGTCTCTCTCTCTCTTTCGATTTCGGGCTCTCTCTCTTTCTCTCTCTCTCTCTCTTTCTCTCTCTATCTAATTCTATACTTATTCATCTATTAATTTCCTAATCCACTCATTCATCTATCCATTTATTCCCTTATCTCTCTTAGAAACTTCTTTTCGCTGAACTGAACTCTTCTCTCTCTCTCTCTCTCTCTCTCTCTCTCTCTCTCTCTCTCTCTCTCTCTCTCTCTCTCTCTCTCTCTCTCTCTCTCTCTCTCTCTCTCTCTCTCTCTCTCTCTCTCCCCCCCCCCCCTCTCTCTCTCTCTCTCTCTCTCTCTCTCGTGTTTTCTCATCTTTCAAAAGTTCTCAAAGGTGTTATGTCTTCACGTGGAGATGGATCAGACTATGACTCATTCTCCGAAAAGAGAGTAATTACTCATCTTTCTTTTAAGGGAAACGCAACTTCGTCCTTCTCCTCCCTCACTCCTAAAAAAAAGAAAAAAAAGAAAAAGAAAAAAAAGAAGGAAGATAAATAGAAGGAGAGACTGAGAGATGGAAGACACTCAAGAACAACAATAATAGGTAAAAAGTTAAAAATTTATAATTAAGTAAATCACTAAATAACGAAAACATGATAGAATATATATGTATGATAGTAAGTTGAAAAAAAATGAATATATTAAAAGGATTCGACAAATGAGTTGATGGATAAGTCAGGTGATAGATGAATGAATTAATAAATGGGTGAATAGGAAGTGAATAAAAATAGAATGCAAAAGGAGATATCACAGAGTAGATAAACTAAAAAAGGAAAAAAAAATGGTTTGCGGTAAGAACCTCCCTCTCTTGTCCTCCTCCTCCTCCTCCTCCCCCCCCCCTTCACCCCTCCTCTTCCCTCCCTCCCTTTCGCCCCCACTCCCTCCTCTCCCCCCTTCCCCTCAACTCCATTACCCTCATCAGTGCAGCGGCTTTCTTAGGTAAGTATATCATGCACTTCCAATGTTAAAAATACAAGGGACAAACCCACATAAATCACTTGAACCCAACTAAACTTTCAGGCCAAAACCACTAGAATTCGCCCGGCAATTATGGCGAACTTCAACGTTCCTCCCCTCTCCCCTTCTCCCCTTCCCCTGCACGCTCTCTCTGTTCCCCTTGTGCCCCCCCCCCTTCTCTCTCTCTCTATCTATCTATCTATCAGTATTTCTATCTATCTATCTCTCATTCTCTCTCTCTCTCTCTCTCTCTCTCTCTCTCTCTCTCTCTCCCTCCCCCCCCTCTCACTCTCTCCCCCCCCCCCCTCTCTCTCTCTCTCTCTCTCTCTCTCTCTCTCTCTCTCTTCTCCTATTAATTTTTCCTCCTCCTTTTCTCTATTTACTTCGTTGCTTCTCTCTCCCATTCCCTTCCCCTACCCTCCTTCTTTCCCCCTTCCCTCTCCTTCCCTTCCTTTCGTCCAGCTTCCTTCCCTTATTCCCCCGTCTCTTCCCTCTTTCCTTCCCATACCTTCCTCCTCCCTCCCTTCAGCTTCTCCCCTCTCTTCCTCTCCCTTAACATCCTTACCTCCCTCTCTTCCTCTCTTCGTCCACTACCTTCCTCCCCCCCTTCCTCTAGCTTCTCCCTTAACACCCTTCCCTTCCTCTCTTCATCCACTATCTTCCTTCCTTCCTTTAGCTTCTCCCCTCTTTCTCCCCCCCCCCTATACATCCATTAGCCTCTCCCCTTCTTCCTTTTCCCACTTAAATCTCCGAGTCGCTTACAACAACAATTTCCCAATTACGCCTACCTCCTTCCCTTCTTTTAAAATCATACAATTTACAGCCCTCCCCTCTTTCTGCTTGGTCTCTACCCCTCGCCGTCTCTCTTTCTCCCCTTTTCTTACTGCTTTTTTTTTCTCTTCTCTTCTTCTCCTTGCGTCTCTTATGCTCCTTTTCCTTTCTCTTTTCTCTCTTCTCTTCTTTCTTTCGCTTTATCTTCTTCCTCTTGATATTCATTTCCTCCTTCCCTTTTTCCTCTCCCCTCCCTCTTTCTCTCCCTCTTCCTCATCTCTCTCTTCCCATCTACATTCTTCCCTCTTCCACCTCTACCTCCTCCCCTTTTTCCTCTCCCCCTCTTCCTCCTCCCTCTCTCCCTATCTACATCCTTCCCTCTTCCCTCTCTACCTCCTCCCCTTTTTCCTCCCCCCTTCCCTCTTTCTCCCCCTCTTCCTCCTCCCCTCTCTCCCTATCTACATCCTTCCCTCTTCCCTCTCTACCTCCTCCCCTTTTTCCTCCCCCCTCCCTCTTTCTCCCCCTCTTCCTCCTCCCCTCTCTCCCCTCTTGCAAATCACGAAGCGTCGAAGTCCCTAGAGACAGAATCTCAGGTCATGTCGGGTAAAGCTTTCACTTTTTCTCTCTTTCTCTTTTTCTACTTTCTTCTCGGTCTTTTTCTTTCTCGTTTATTCTGTCTGTCTATTTGTCTGCTTGTTACTTGTCTGTCTCTTGATTCATTTATTCCTCGCTTTCTTTCATTCTCTCTCTCTCTCTCTCTCTCTCTCTCTCTCTCTCTCTCTCTCTCTCTCTCTCTCTCTCTCTCTCTCTTTCTTTCTCTCTTTCTCCCCCTCTTCCCTTTTCTTTTGAATGAAGCAACAGAAGAACGGATGATAAGCATAAGAAGCATGAGATAAAAGAGAATTGAGAAGGAGATATAGGAGAGAGAAGTAGAAGAAAGGAAGGAGGGAGATAGAACGATAGAGGAGAAGAGGAAAGTGGGAAAGAAGAAACAGAGAAGGGAGAGGAGAAGAGAGGATGGAGGAGGAGAAGGGGGGAAGAGGAGATGAGAAGAGGAAAAGGGTAACAGGGAGAGAAGTGAAGAGGGAGAAGGAGGA